GTTTTTCGAGAAGACTCACGTAGACAAATCAGTCGTTTAGGTGTCGGGTAGTGCTGTCCCGTAGTGCTCTTGGATTTCAAAAGCCCCGCTTTTGAGAGTAAGTGCAGCGAAGATGGGATTCTCAATGATTTCTAGAGTCTGACAGCTCCATAAGGACTCTTGAAATCTTTCTAGAGTCACCACAACTTTTACGTCTCTCGAAGGACTCTGGAAATCTTTCGAGAGTCCAGAGTAGTGGAGCGAGACCTGTCATCTCAAGGTCGTGGCCCTTTGGAAAGAAAACAAAACAGAACAAAAAAATTAGCCCACTTGCACCAATGGGGCGGGCTTGTGACGCTGAACCTCATGTCCTGCTCTGTCTTCGGGTCGGAGTGGTGAGTCGTGCGGAAAGGGCCCTGAAAGACAGTAGAATGGGGTGTGCCAAGGATTTTTGGGATACTGAGGGGACTTGGATAGAACTGAAGTCCCCCGCTTAGTTTCGGTTTTGGCGAGAACGGGTCACTGGCACGCGAGAAGGGAACAAGCGCGCGCTGTTTTCAAACATCCATTCATTCCAAAAAGTATCGTTGTACTTTCACGCGAGCTACTGGCCGTCTCTTAGAGTGAAAGGACAAAGGAATGCACGTGGGATCCCGTTTTTGGATTAGATCCTGGTGTCGCTCGTTACAGAACTCAGAGTGCGACGTGGAGGGCCTCAGTCTGGTCGCTCGTTCCTTGTGCTCGTCTTCACCACTTGTTCGATAGTGGAACCCCCTCTTCCAGTAGAGCTCTATGCGGCGACAATCGCTGCACAGGGTGTTAGGCCAATGGGGTGCCACTGCCGCCCACGGGATGACAATCAACTCATTAAAAGGCAACAACAACGAACCAGCACCTACAAATCCAAAGCACATCGCATTTGGTGGGAAATAGTATCTTCCACCGATCTTGGCGACGGCTTCCCGTACGTCCCACTCGCATACACGTGTCCATTCCTCGTTATAGGGGAATGGCCAAGGTGGGGTTGAGGGAAGTCGGCACCCGGTCGGATCGGAATGTTTAGTCCACATGGCACAAGCAAAACCTGTTGAGTCTGTTAGATGAGTCCGCCATTCAATCACAGAAATACACAGGCACGATACTGGCGATCCCGACCGCCACATACCAACCTCCATACCACAGTGACCATCACCCCGCCAACTCCGCCTCTACCCCGACTTGCCCGGATCCCGCAGTCCGTCGCGGCCACCCAGCACACAACCTTGTGAAACTATAGTCAGCTCGTCAGGGCTTTTCGACTCTCTGCGCATTCCCATCACCTAGCCACAACTTCCCGGAAGTTGGCCGATGGGTTGAGAGAGTTTTTCATAGGTGCTTGCGACTTTTATAATTGCGAGCAGGGGAACAGCAGAGGGAGAAGCATGGGATGGAGACAAGCAGGGGTGAAGAGAAATTTGAGATGATCGCCTGTGGAAAGCCATATCGATCCTGCAGGCTCTTTGCGCAGCCAATCAGATTACCTCGTGCAGGGGGACTTTTCCCCTTACACGACATCAATCAATGGCTTCGAGTACCTTGGGAGGGGCGATAAGGAGTTCCGGTATGGGGATGCAGGCGGGAAGAAGAAGAACGCAAAAAGTAGCGCGGAGCGGGTTCAAGATTCGGACGATAAGGAGTGGGGGTGAAGCACGAGAGAGAGAGGGAATTGAAAACAGTTACAAGCGAAGTGAAGAAGGCACGAAGAAGAGGAGAGGGAAGATGGTACAGGCTTTAGCAGGAGGCAGGGGGAAGCTTGCAGGTACGACGCTAGTGCCGAGGGAAAAAGGACATCAAAAAACAGTTGCGCCCATCCTAAAGCTATTTCAAGAATACAAAATTCAAATGTTATAGAAGTGCACGGGTTTGAGCGCGCAAAAATCCTACGTTTATCCAGCTGCCTGTTGAAAATTCACAGATCTTTCAAGGGCGGGTGCGGGAAGTTCTCGATGCAAGAAATGACACGTTAACGAAAAAAGCGTCCGAAAATCCCGGAACTCCCAACCATTGAACAAAACTCTTAGTGCGTTTTCTAAGGCGCGTGTAATTCCTACATAAGTGCATGAATTCCGAAAGAAAATTGCAACCAAAAAAAAGGGGAAACGCCAGCTTGGATTTGGGAGGGCCTGACTGGCCGACAACTTCATGCCTCGGGAGTACAGCAAAAGAAGGAGGAGGGGGGGGGGGG